CACTAATTTGACTAGGCTGGATGGCTGCAAGTCCCAGGGTTCTGCCTGTCTCCACATCTCCAACACTGGCTTTCTTTTTTTATAAATATTTTATTTATTATTATTATTTTTTAACAGAGGATAGTGTTTATTTACAGAAGAGTGGGAGTCCCACATTTATGGCTGTGCCATAAAGTCCACATTCAAATATAGATCAGATCTCCCAACAGCTGCACAAAATGGTGAGAGAGGTGCCCCTTGGTGTTCACACACACACACACACACACACACACACACATATAAAATCTTTTGCCCCTCCCCCAGCATGCAGCTAACGTCAACTGATTGGGTGGGAGGGGTAACTGACTCCTCCCTTGACTCCTTGATGAGTGTGGGAAGGAGGTGTGACTATAGCTTGCTGGCATAGTGGTTGGAAGACATTTCCAGTTAACACTCCACCCCCTTCCTCGGCCTCTTCCATTCTTTCCACCAACCTCTTCAGCAAAAGTCCCTGAGCCTTGGAGGGGGTGGTAGTTGTGGTTGATCTTCCTCCCACTGTGGCAAGCATGCCTGGCTTTCTTTGAGTAATATTTTTATTGATTCTTTGAGATGCTCATGCAATGTATTTTGATCATATTCACACCCCCTCCCCTATCTCCTCTCAGACTTAACCCTCACCACTCTATCCCCTTCACTCTATGTCTTCTATTTTTTTAAGGTCTATTGAATCTAAATTGTGTTCCCCAAATGCTCTTGGGCATTGGTCCATTCCCTGGAGTCTGGTCAACCTACCCAGCATTGTACTCCTAAAGAAAACTGAGAGTTGATCTTCTTTAAAGGAGAGACTCTGGATAGGCTGACCAGACTCCAGAGGATAAACTTGCACCAAAGGACATCTGAGTACAAATGCTTGACTGGAAAAGACTTAGCATATAGGACAGAATGCATGAAATCCAGTGGGGGTGGAATATGTGGGCAAAGATGGGGTCTAAATTTGATTAATACACAAAAACTCAATACAAGAAGAAAGAAAACTGACTCTCCCTCTCTCAGAAGCTATCGACTGCTAATAGTCCCTCAGCTAGGGCTGGGTTCTTGCCCACCTCCTCCTCCACGCTGAGTTTCTGTCTTGCTTGGGCTTGCGTAGGTCTTGTGCATGCTGTCACAAGCACTGTGGGTTCATGTGTCCAACTGCTCTGTGGTGTCCAGACAACACTGTATCCACGTAATCATCTACCACCTCTCACTCTTACAATCTTTCTGCCCCCTCTTTCACAATGATTCCTGAGCTTTGGGAGGAGGGGGTGTGATATAGAACCCTTGGCTAGACAGGTCTCAAGCCCTGAGGGAGAACCTACTGCTGTTATCCTGTTAAATGCACATAGTATTGAACTCTTAATGACTTATTGTTATACCCATAGATTAGTGTATCTCTCAGCTCTCACCAGAGAAGCTTCTTCTTGCAACAGATGGCAGTTAACACAGAGACCCAAAACTGGTCAATGTGCAAAGAACAAAAGACTGGCTTTTCTTATGTGGCTTCTAGGAATTAAACTCAGATCCTCATATTTGCATTGCAAACATTTTATTGGCTGAGCTATCTCTCCAGCCCTCTTTCTTTGATTGCAAAAGCATTTTCATTAATGGGGTTTGATTTTATGATAGATACCAAAGTCATCCCAGAATATTTTGAAAATGCAAAAAAAAAAAAAATTAAAAATCAAGGAAAAAAAAAAACATCTCGAAAGCCCTGTTTAATGTTTTGGCTTTTGTGGTGTCCTGCTTTCTCTGCCTATGTTAGAGACAGGTGGAGAGACTACACAGGGACAATTACTCAAATCCCGTTTGTGCCAGCCTCGGTCCTCTGATATTTGGCATAAGAGCTTTGTGCGTGCAAAATCTTTATTAAACAGTGACATAACTTTCTGAGTTGGGAGAATCTGTAGAGCAGTGTGTTCAGTGACTTGTTTTAGCTGGAATGCCACAGACTGCCCCCCAACTGAGGTCTAAAAAGGAGACCTGAAATTCTGCCTCCATTCAAAGGAGGAGAGACAGGCGAGGCAGGGGCAGCCTTGAGTGGAAGTCATTCCGAAGGCCATCGCTGTTGCTCCTTGGCCTTGCTGGTACTTTTCTGCTTTTCCACCTCTCAAACGCCTATCTTCTTCATGACCGCACAGAATTCTCAGATGACAGGTTAATGCTGCTTCTCTGGCAACTTGAAATGGAGTAATTTTAAAACCCGCATTGTAATCATGGGAGTTGCTCATTTTTGAACCTATAACTAATTCAAAAGCAATTGAAATCTCCCAAAGAGATTTCAGTGGGAAGCAATCCCCTAGGCCCCAGAGTGAGGACTTGAGACAAGCTAAGTCCATCAGGCAGATCTGTAGGCAAGAAAACAGAATCCTGAAGATGGGAAGCCCAAAATAGAATGGGAAGATAGAGCTGATTGTCCCACAGTCAGGCTACCCATTTGACTCTCTTAAAAGTCCTCATCACCGCTAAATAAGCTAGACCCGATGCATTGCCCCGATGTTAAGCAGGGCTCATATATCTGTGCAGATGTTTGCCAATCAGCTAACATCAACATGGTATCAATTAAGCCTGGAGCATGCTGTTATGAACTGGAGAACACACACAACAGCAAAACCGTCCACCTTTATGAGCAATGCATAGTGGTTTCCTTAGATGTTAAGTCGGTGACTTCAATGTGTTTGTTACAGTGCTAAGCATGATTTTCCTACCAATCTTGAGATTTTGTATATGTGAGAATGCATGCTTGTAAAATAATTACAACTAAAAGCGTGTCCTTAGATACATGGAGAGATACATTGGTTCTATCAAGGTGATGATTTGCAGAAAAAGATGTTATTTGAATGAAATAATTTCACAAAGCAACAAAATATGGTGAAATTTTAATTATTATTTTTTAATATTTTATTTTTATTTTATGTGTATGATTGTGTAGTATCCATGTGTGTATGTGCACCTCTGTTGTGCAATGCCGGGATAAGTCAGAAGATGGTGTTATCTTCCTCTGAAACTGGAGGTTGGATGGTTGTTAGCTGCCATGTGGGTGCTGGGAACTGAACCCAGGTTCTCTACCAGAGCAGTCAGTGCTCTTTACCACAGAGCCATCTCTCCAGACCCTGAAATTTTAACTATATATAATTAGTTATTAATATTATGTCAGATTAGATTAATATTTGGAGAGTTAGGACATCTATATGGATGGTTTACTATAGCAAAAAAAAAAAAAAGTGAAGACAGTTTTCATAGCCCATCAAGAATTCTAAGTGTTTTAATAGTTTTGAGAGACTAAGCTTTCAAGGAACAGAACCAAGTTTTCTTAGGCCTCTGCAAAATATTTGTAGATAAGAAGTAAAGTTTGGAAGAAACAGTCAAGTAATAAGTCAGGACCAAGGGAAACGCATCACATAAGAAGGACTGAGTCATCTTATGCTGGAGAAAACAGAAGAAAGCAAAAAAGTGGTCAGGCGTAGGCGCACACATAGTTCCAGTGCACAGGAGACCGAGGCAAGACTGCAGCTTGGAAGCCAGCCTGGTCTACACATTGAATTCAAAGCCACCTGCCTGGAGAGAGAAAAAGAAGAAGGGAAGAAATGAACAAGAAAGGAAGTGTAGGGGATGGGAGGGAAAGGGGAGGAGAGGGAAGGAAGTGAGGGGAAGAGAAGGGGAAGGGATAGGGAAAAGAAAGGAAAGGGGGATGGAGGGAAAGAGGAAGGGAAGGGAGGGACGGGAGAAGGAAATAGAACAGGGAGGGGAGGGAAAGGAAGGGAAGGGAGGAGGGGAAGGGAGAAGGAGAAGAGGAAGAAAGGATGGGAGAGAGGAAATGAAGGAACAACAGATTAAAGGCCAGTGCTTCCTTTTTCACTCCTAGACAGAATAAACCCTAAGTGAACAGGACATGGGACACAAAAGGGGCAGGCCTGAGTCCCTTCTCCCAGGGCCATGAAGATACATAAATATTCCACCATGTCTTGGAGGCAGGGAAGGTTGGGAGGCCCAAAACATTGAGCCTATTCTCACATAAAGTCGGGTCCTAAGCAAGACTAATGTTGTAGAGTGAGAAAGACACGCCCAGGTCTCCAACTCAATCAGTACATAGTGACTTGATGCTCCATTGTTTGCACAGATGTGCCCAACAGTTTTCCCTGCACTGCCTTGCAATACGAACATGAAGTTCCACGCATCGAGAGGTGGAGTGCATCTGCCCTAGCTTTGAGTCAGGTTGGCCTTTCAATGACTGTGATCAGCAGAAAGGTGGTGTAGATGATGTGATGCATGATGCGAGCCCAAGTCTTAATAGATCTTGAATTTTCTGGCCTTCGGTCTAGCCTTCTAGACGTGGAGGTAAACCATGGGAGGTCGCAGGAGTAAAACTGACCTCAATTGTCAGACTTCAAAATGTAGCCATCTTGAATCTTCCAGGTCAGCCAACCTTCAGGCTGAGGGGCTCACCAACCAACCCATAGAATCTTAAGAAAAACAATTCATTATTTTAACTCACTAAGTTTTAAGGTGATTTGTTATGCAGTAGCAATGAAAAAAAAACTATCAAACATGACTTGTTTCTCCTCTCTGATCCATGTCATCAGTATCCTAGATTCTTGAGCGCAACAGTATGAAGGTCAGAGTTGGATGGATGGGGGAAATGAAGCAAAGCACTTATCCCTCCAGATCAAGCAGGCAGGGGTCCAGGATTAAGTCAAATGGGTTGCTATGTTTGTACTCTGCTTGGTGAGGAGTGTGGCGAAAGGTCTAGCCTGGGAATCAGAATTCATGAGTCACTCACTATAAAAGCTACCTGCATTCTTGTGTCATCACCAGCAAAATGTCCTCACCTGCCCTGTTAATTCCACAGCAAGGGTAGCCATGTGGGGCCAAGGAAAAAAATGCTTTGAAAACTCAGCTGTGTGATGCAAGCATGAGCCATACCTATAAATTAGATCCAATGCTACTAATTAGATCCATATTCATTTATTGAATCCACAGCTCTTTCAGATTATTTGAGGGGATAAAAGGAGACATTTTTATGACTGGAAGTCATGGGCACCATCATCTTGCAAATATAGGTCTTCATAGAAAGGGTGTGTCTAGTATTAGAACCTAGAGCACCAAGTCCAAACTCTCCCAGAAGGATCTAGAAACCAAAGAAAAGAGGAAAATACACAACAACATGAGTCATTTGATTCTCCCGTCCTCATTTCCAGAACTACAAACTGGAAAAAAAGTAGAGCACTTTTTACCCAGCTCCTCAGACACTGTGGAGATGGAAATTGAACGGAATGAGCCACCACTCATCACCTACCTGTGCCAGATACTAGAAGAGAATATCTTATGTATACTTTTCATCATTCTTTTTCAGTCTCCTTGGGAGATGGCAAAAGAAGAAAGAAAGTGATTTTAAGGAGAGAAACCATATTGAAAGACACGATTAGTATATTGGCTAAAGACGACAAGGAATATGAAGGTTTTCCAAAGGTAAGAATTGAAGAGGAAGTAAAAAAAGAACTCATGCGATAGAAGAAAGAAACAAACAAGCATAGGGTGATCAAAGAGGATGTGTCCAGGGCCTCAGTTCAGCTAGAAAAGATGGAACAGAACTGTGTGGATGGCAGTGGAATATGAGAGTCCAATGTGGAGTTGAGGCAGCCAGAGACACAGAAGCACTAGGATGTGTGAGGATTTGTTCTGGGGTCATTGCTTACCCAGCTGTAGAAGATGGTTCAGCAGCCAGTCTGAAAGGATGCTGTCTTTGCTTCTGATGGGTTCTCTCAAAGTCCCCAGAGCAGGCACTCACTCAGTAAGGGACAGTTGAGAGCGGTCTAGAAATCATACATTCTAAAAGGAAAAGGGAAACAAGAACATGAAATGCCAAAATTATTAGAGTTTACAATATACAAATGATCAATGAACAGATAAAAGGATGCCCAGCATCAATAGTCATTGTGGGACAAAATCAGAGCCACGTGAGACACCACTTCATACCCTCTGAGATGGTGCTGATCAAAGTGGCAGACGTGTAACAGTAAGTGCTGCTGAGGATGTAGACAAACCGAAACCTGTTGGCTTGGCAGTGAGAATGTAAATATTGGACACTTACTTCAAGTATAGATTGTAAGGCAAGAGAATACAGCAGTGAGAGGTTCAGAAGAGCCCCGGGCAAAGGCTGCCACATTCACACATGAAAGAAACCAGCTGGCAAAGAAGAAGGCTGGAACCACCACATCCCCCATCCCCCAAACTCCTACCCCCTTCATCAAACCAATTAAATACAAATCTGGACCCCAGCACAGGCAGCAGACACAGAAGCACTCCAGAGTTCCTGGAAGTGACTTATAATTCATTGTAATACTAAAACACACACCCCTGAGTAGAGATTTAAGATGTTGAGATATGTGATGCATGAGATTGTATGTAAGGCTGCAAGTAACAGACTGTGTGACAAAGCCATAACGCAGTATGCAAATAACCCCAAAAGTCTTGTGCTGTGTAACATAAAAGCCCAAACTCTTGCACAGCAGAGCTGTTGAGCTCCCAAGCTTGCTTTTTGCTCCAACCTGCTCTCAGAAGAGCATCTTTTTCTAATAAACTGCCCCTGCTTCTGCTCCTATCCAAGTGTCACAGTCTAATTCTTTTCTTTGGTACAAAAGAATCCAAGCCCCTCTGGAGATCCCTAACAAACCCAAATATCTGAGAATGTCCTTGCTGCTGCCTCAAAATGAGTTATTTGCTGTGTTAGACAGCTTTGGTTGTCAACTTGACATACCTGGGTAGAGGGGGCCTCAATTGGGGAATTGCCTCAATTGGATTGGCCTGTGACCATGTCTGTAGGGCATCTTCTTGATTGTTGAGTCATGTGGGAGGGCCCAGCCCATGTGGGAGGGCCCAGCCCACTGTGGGTGGTACCACCCCTAAGAAGGTGGCCCCATATTGTATAAGAAAGCAGGCTGAGCAAGGCCAGAAGAGCAAGCCAGTAAGCAGTGTTCTTCCATGGCCTGTGCTCCAGCTCCTGCCTCCAGGTTCCTGCCCTGAGTTCCTACCTTGGGCTCCCTGATGAACTGTGACCCAGAAAATGTAAGCCAAATAAACCCTTTCCTCCCCAAGTTGATATTGGTCAGAGTATTTTGTCACACCAATGGAGATACAAACTAGAATACTTGAGTTATCATATGCCCCAGAAATTCCACTCTTTGGAAAGAGAAATAAAAATATTTATCTTATATTACATATATCCTAGCCATACAAAGATTTACATGTAAAAACACACACACACATATATATAATATATATAACATAAATTAACCTTGAAAACAGGATGCTAATAATAAAGAAGGTATGTAATAAAAGCCATATATTGCATATTACCTTTATATGAAGCGTCCAAAATAGGTAAATTCATAGAAGCAGAAATGGATATTGATTGCTTAGGGCTGGAGATGAGGTAGAGATAGGGGTAGATGAAAATAGAGAGTGACCAGTAATGTATATGAAGGTTCCTTTGAGATTACAAAACGCTCCCAAGTTTATGCTGGTGATGCTACACAACACTGTAAATATACTGAAAATCAATAAACATTAGAAATGTGAAATTAATTACGTATCAATAAGCTATGGTTATTAAAAAGTAATCATGACCTGTAACCCCATGAAGAAGCATGGAACTTTTCTTTTCTTACTGTTTCTGACCTTAGTGACAAGCACATCACGCAGAATTTGGGTTTGTTTTTATCATGGTGCTACAGGCACATACCAGGTCAAGGAGACAGAAGTAAAAGAGGATCTAGAGGCCTAGATACTGCCTGACGCCACCCAGGTGAGTCACCAGGTCACGTACAACATGTATGTGCACTTCAAAGTGGCAGCACCTTCCTCACAACCTCTGAACAATAAGGATCTTCCTTGTGGCTCACATATAAAAGAGAGAATTCTGTGAAATGATTTGCAGTCTAGTCCAGAGACACATAATGCAGCCACTGCTATACTGACTGTACTGTTGAGATCTTTGAAATCAGGGGGAGACATTCCTCGTGAAAATCCACATGTGTTGAGCAAGAGAGTGAAGTATTCCAAACCGAGTTTTGGAAGAATAATCCAGCAACAGAAAAGAAAATAGCGTAACAGAGGCAGAAAGAGCCTTTAACAGTCTACTGTAGAAGTGAGAATTAGTAAAATCCTGAAAGGGAGAAGGAGGAAGAGAGAAAAATGGAGACAGACAGACCAATCCTGTTCCTCCTATAATGTGGAGACCGTCACTATATAAGAGATAAGAAATGAAGTAAAGAAAGAAATGAGAAATAATGTTCAATTTTTCAAGCTGTGTGACCAAGAAGATAATCTATGGAAAAAGATCAGGTTTGGGCCAGTGAACTTGTAGGTGTTGCTGGAGCCTTCAGGTGATAGTGTACCATCTAGAAGTCAGATGTTTAAGATACAGTCTCTGAAACCACCCCCTTCAGGGTCATGGGTCAATGTGTCGGATCACCAAGAGGGAAAAGAGGCAGGCGGTCAGAAGTCTGATAGAAGTACTGGGAGAAAGAGCACACAAATTGGAAGTGTCAGACATCACAGAAATCAGACAGCAATGATGCAAGTGGAGGTCGGCTGCTACTTCCAAGACTGAAAGGAAGACCAGGTACAGGCCATGGTCAAATCACAGGTGATTTGAGAACCAAGAAATGCTGTGTAATTAGAGGTGGGATTCTACATCAAGACCTCTATTAAAAGCAGGTCTTCCCAATCCTCAGTAGAGTGAGTAGGCATGGTGAACAGGCAAAGGCCTGCATCACTCTACAAGCAGAGAGAAACTCGTCCAAGGAGTGCTGCTGACAGTACTCATAAACCATGCTTGCCCTGTGTGAGGTTTCCGAAGGCCTCGCTACGAAGGACAAGAGCCAGTGTTTAACAGCAAAGTTAGCACCAATTTTGAAGATGTGTGACAGAACATTTAAGGAGCACCCAGGACAGTTGCAGGAGCAATTTAAGGAAATGCCAGATGGTTTTATAGAGTAATGAAAGGCTAGGCATATGGACAGCAATCAGGATGAAACTCAAAACAAAGCTAAGATGATGTAATCTCATTCTGATGAAACTCTGTAGACACAGTAGAGAAGCTGATGGGTCAAAGATGAAATACAAATGACTAATAAAAATGAAAAAAATTTCAACCTCAATAGTCATTAGAGAAATCAAAATTAAAACTACATTGAGATTCCATCTTACCCCAGTCAGAGTGGCAATCATGAAAAAAAAAAAAAAAAAAAAAGTAAATAACAACCAGTGCTGGTGAGGATGCAGACAAAAAGGGACCCTTACGCATTGCTGCTGGGAATGTAAGTGATCAAGCCACTATGGAAATCAGTATGTAGGTTTCTCAGAAGCTAAAAATAGATACACCATGTGGCCTAGCTGTCCTAGTCATGTATATTTACCCCCTAAACTTGAAGTCAGCATGTCACAGAGATACTTGCACATCAATGTTAATGGCAGTATTATTCACAATCGCTAAGTTGGAAACCAGCTTAAGTGTCTAACAACAGAGGAATTAATAAAGAAATCATTATTTTATTTATATATACATAAATAATGGAATTTTTCATCCATAAAGAATAATGAAATTATGTCTCTTGCAGAAAAATGGATATAACTGGAGATAATCGTATTAAGTGAATTAAGTCAGTCTCGGAAAGATAAATATTGTATGTTTTCTTCTACCTGTGGGTCTTATATTTTATAAAGAAAGATAAAACAATGTATATGCAAAAATAGAAGTGGAATTATCTAAGGGAACAAAAGGGACTGACGGGGGAGGAAGGAGAGAGAGACAAGGAGGGGATATATATGTTCAACAGACTTAGACGTGCATGAAAACATCCTTATGTAACACAGTATCAATGAGGCCTTCCTCTCCTCCAGAAGTCTCATTAGCAGGATCATTCCTCCCTAGAAATTCCTGATTCTGATCCCCTCCACTTCTCTAGAAACGATATCCTAATTGATTTTTAATCATTTTCATTTCTCAAAGTAAATTTCCCTCTGGAGGTGCCATGGTGGCCAAATCACTCTGGTGTGTGTGTGTGTGTGTGTGTGTGTGTGTGTGTGTACACTGGGGACATCCATACATGTAACAGTGTTACAGTCTTGACCCTACACACAGTTTCAGCTGAGAGCTACCAGTGCAGAAAAATGAAGCGTATCTGAGAAATGTCTTCCCATTTGTATAGAAAAGAATTTCCCATATTTCCTCAGTTTAATTATTATCTCACTAATAATTTTAGGCAATGCTAGATCGAAAGAAAAATCTGTTTTTCCTTTTAAGTAGATAGGTCCAAACAACTGAGTATTTATGTCCTAAAAATCTACCAGTTATTTGGTAAAACTAAAACACATAAATTAAAAGGAACCCCCCCATATCACCTGCCCTGTTAGATGGCCCCATCTTTGTTCTTCCAAACTTTCTACCTGAGGCACCTTCCCAGGTCTCTGCTACACACAGCTCCGTCTTCATGACACCTCTCACCTCCCTGGCCCAGCACGCCCTCCCTCCGCTCTCCCCAGAGAGCTGCTCACACCTCCCTCTCTACTCTCATGTCCCTGCTCACGTCCTTAACACACAACATCACAGTTATTCTCTGGTGATAGACAGTGTACCTTAAAGTGAGGGAACATGTTTAATTCATAGCCCTTTCCTCGGCTCTTAATGGGGTCTGCCACTTCCTAGGTGCTTGCTACATGTTTATGCATTGAATGAACGATCCATGCTGCCAAACTCAAAGAAAAACTTTCAAGTGACAAGGTAGGAAAACTGTAGGTGCCAGCCTACAAAGAGATGCAAAGCCATG